TGCGTTTAGAAAGGTTTCTTAGTAAACAGGTCTCTGTTTTGAGAGAAATGGTATGTATTGTTCAAATACGGATTGAAAACAGACATTGTGTTTGGACAAGTTGGCCACTAATGCAGCTCCATACAGCACCACTGATTTACCAGCAAACAACTCAGCCCTTTGGGGGGGACATTTTCTGCTCTTCTGTGTTTCTGTTGAGCAGTAACCTACTACCCTAAAGGCCATGGTGGAAACGAGTCAGTTTGTTCTCAGAAGAGATGTAGGCTGACATGAATCAGGGTGGCAAAACTAAGTCCTGAATAAACCACAAGGTAGTCAGCTTCTTCTGCACAACCTGTTCCGTACTAGCATTGATTTCAGGGAGATAGCACAAACCTGTTCGACAAGGCAGTATGAGCAATGCTGTCATAAGAAATGCCAAAGGGCTGGTTCCTGCCTTGACTCTTGCTGTGCTAAAAGGCGTTAATTAATAGTCTTCTTGATATGGATAAAGTAGCTTTCAAAACCTGAAGCTGGGCTCTGCTGACCACCTGCCTTGTTGTAGGAGCCAGCTGGAATTAAGATTGCTCAACCCTCACCAGGTCGTGCCTTAGACACACTGGAATGTTTTTGATATTTTGATTTCACAGAAATGGAAAAAAAACCCCACCCTATTAGAATGCTGACCAGGGTCAGGTAAACTTTTTTGTTGGGTTATATGAAGCTTCTAATTCATCATTTAAGCTTGGGTCAAGGTCACCAGAACAGTAGGCTATCAGCATTATGAGAGAGTCCAGAAAAGCACAGGCATGAAATAACAGTCAGTGAGGGAAATCAGAAACTTTGAAATGGAAATAGAACTTTCCTAATTCATTAAAAGACTTACTTGTGGTCAGTTTTCTTTCTTTCAGTTTTCTTTATTTCTGTTTGATTTATGAATAGTTAAAAATAGCATTTCATCTGAATTACAGCCAGCATGATTTTTCATGGAAGTGCTACTTGACATCAGTAATTGTATCAGAATCTGGTCTAAACATTTCTGAATTGGGCCCAATCAAAAGCATAGGATTTAATAGCCCTGTGATTTTGGGCTGACTCATCTGAGAAGCTATTTTGGGTTTTTCAAGGTATTACTGTCAGTAACTAGGACTTTTTTTTCAGATCAGAATTGCATGAAAGCCATCAAAGAGCATTAAAAAAAAAAAAAAAAAATTAGTGGTCCTAGCTGGCTTTCTGTCTTTAAAAGTACCTCTCTGTACCTGTAGATTATGAGATGGAAGCTGGCTGAATCAGCAATAGCCTGGTTTTACCATTTTGTGCATATTTTCCATCACAAATGAAGTGACTTTGGAACTCACGGTGCCTTGCTCATTAGTATTTAATTTGAAGGCAATCCCCTAATTTTAGCTGTGCCTGGGCTTAGGTAATCTTGTAGGCTCCCTGTGTAGTAGACAGACAGAGGCAGACTCCTCCAGGGAATGATTCATCCAACTGTTTTACACTGGGGAAAACCACTCCCTGGAAGATCCTAACCTTTTCCAAGGGTACTTACAGAGGATTTCTACTCTGTAAGAGCATGACAGAGCATGTCAGTCCCGGTACTAGCTCAACCTAGGCATGGTCTAAAAGACTAAAAAGCCAAGTATCCATCTAGGAATAACTTGGGAGAAAAGAGCAGAAAGTTTCTGGACAAATGTTTTAAGTCAGAAAAAATCTGATCTTTTTTTTTCCAAATTGAAACTGTTTATGGGTACAAGGTAGGCTCGCAGAAAGTTTATTCTGCTAGAAGCAATGGTTACTTCCACTACAAAGGGAGATTTCTGCTTAGCATGAAAAATCCACACTTGCTTGGCGAACAACCTGCTCAGTAGACTGTTCAGTTGGCAAATGAGGGATCTGAGCCCAAGTCTTTGCTCTTCCTGATCCACAGCTGAGCTGACAATGAGGTGGCCAGGGTACCTGCGTAACAGCACAGACCCAGGCACCTGAAAGCTGGTAATGACCACACAGGCTGTGGGGTGAGAAGCAGTGTAAGAGTTTTCTGGCAGCACTGCTAAGAGATGCAACTGATAGCCCCCGCCGTTGTGTCGTGCCGGTGGGTATGTACTGCATGGGCACCTCCAAGCAGAGCTGCCATAGAATCATAGAATCACTTTGGTTGGAAAAGACCTTTAAGATCATCGAGTCCAACCTTTAACCTAACCCTGACATCCCACCACTAAACCATGTCCCTAAGCACCTCATCTATCCTTCTTTTAAATACCTCCAGAGATGAGGACTCGGCCACCTCCCTGGGCAGCCCATTCCAGAGCCTGACAACCCTTTCAGTGAAGAAGTTTTTCCTAATGTCTAGCCTAAACCTGCCCTGGCGCAGCTTCAGACCATTCCCCTCATCCTATCATCTGTTACCTGGGAGAAGAGGCTGACCCCCACCTCACTACAGCCTCCTGTCAGGCAGTTGTAGAGGGTGATCAGGTCTCCCCTCAGCCTCCTCTTCTCCAGACTAAATAACCCCAGTTCCCTCAGCCGCTCCTCGTATGACTTGTGTTCCAGACCCCTCACCAGCCTGGTTGCTCTCCTCTGGACATGTTCCAGCAATGCAACATCTTTCTTGTAGTGAGGGGCCCAAAACTGAACACAGTATTCGAGGTGCGGCCTCACCAGCACCAAGTACAGGGGCATCATCACTTCCCTACTCCTGCTGGTCACACTATTTCTGATACAGGCCAGGATGCCATTGGCCTTCTTGGCCCCCTGGGCACACTGCTGGCTCATATTCAGCTGGCTGTCAACCAGTACCCCCAGGTCTTTTTCCACCAGGCAGCTTTCCAGCCACTCTTCCCCGAGCCTGTAGCGCTGCATGGGGTTGTTGTGACCCAAGTCCAGGACCCAGCACTTGGCCTTATTGAACCTCATATGAGTGTGGGAGCTCAGGGATCCTGGCACCACGCAGTATTGGGTGCCTGAAGTCTGTTCCATGTACATACTTCCTAAAATATACCCGAATCACATGCGTTACTGTCTCTGACCACTGTACTGGTTTTAGCAAAAAGTAGTGACTAACACAATATCCTTTTATCCCTTGACATGATTCTTCAGTGTTCAACACTGAAGTGCTTAGAAGCATAAAACTTTCCTTTATTGGAGTGGTACCTGACCTACAAAGAGGCAGAGAGTTAGTTCTTACATTTCTATCTTCTCCTAGCATTATGTTCTTCTCAAATAGTTTTATTAAATTTGTGTGTTTCAACTGAGGCCAGAATTTCTTTGAATTCCAGAGTACAGTGATAGACTGGAAACTGGTGTGGGTCTGTGTGACGGAGGCATTTAGAGAACCGGTGGTTACTTGCATTCACTGTCCCATTACCTTCGCATAAACGGTTTACTGTCCTCTTAGTCCCATACCAAAACCTCATATCCAAGAGCCTACACCTACCAAACATCTCAGAAATGTGAGGAAAAGGGGAGATCTGGGAGTAGTTTGTATATAAAATATTTTACAGTTCTGCTGCTCCCTAGCAGGGATCTGGGCTAATAAAAACTTACAGGAGGACCACAGCAGCCTTAGCAGTTCTTTTCCTCCTGGCAGAGCCTGCTTCCAGCAGAGCCCCACTTCCAGCTGCTTAGGAGTCCCGGCATCCCAGGAGTTGCACTTGATCTCCTCACGTATCACACGCAGCTCAAGCGCCTCTGTTATGCCACCTTGAATTAGCAGCGTCTGCTGTCTTCGTAACCTTGGCACTCACCCTCTTTCCTTCCCCAGCTTCCTTGCCTAAATATTATTTCTACTTGCAATAACATTGCATTGCCTTGCCATAGTGAGATGTTCTCCCTTGTCACTTCTGGGCAGTTGTTGTATGCTTCAAGACTTGTTAATGACCTTGGCCACCTTTCAGCTACGGAAGCAGTTGGCCTGTGGGGTTTTTTTCTCACGATGGGGTTGATAAAGGTCCATAGCTAAGTCTCTTTCTATGCAACACATGGATTAAATGTAGTGTAAAATGCTTCCTTTTTGAAAATAAAGTAGTTTCTGAGGGTCATTCTCATCAGCGAATGTTGTGACATTTGAGTCAAATTACCTGACATAAGGCTGAATGGCCAGCCTGGAAAAGGATAAGTCCTGGCTACCAGGATGTCCTCTCACACAAGTTTAAGTTCTTACTCAGCACAAGGCAATGCACATGGTGTTTTTTTAAAATGGGAGAGATGGATCTGTCCATTGCCAATGCCAATATCCTTTTGCTGTAACAAATGAATGTTGGTAAGGAAACTAAAAATGGCCACGGTTTTGCCTATCAGAAATCCTTGTGTGGTCCCCATTACGACCACAGCATTTAACTACCGAGCAGTATTTGCCACTAAGGTCAGAAAATGCTGTGAAGCATCAGTGGGGAACCTGCTGTGGACTGGATATCTAAATTTCTGCTGACATCAAAGGGGAGTTAACCACCTAAATATATTTCCAAAGTTGTTCTGATACCTTGTTTAAGCTCATGAAAGTCCATGGGATCAAAATCTGCTCCTGCTTTTGCTGTCTGAGGCTCTTCATCGTGTTGGTCCCATTTGCACTGTAGCATCTCCTCCCCTCATCTCCCTTACATTAGATTGCCACTTTTAATCAGTAATTCCAGTGGTATCGTCATACCAAGAAAATATCCTTCCTCCATACAAAAAGGTGTGGAAACTATTGGTAACACCCTGCTAAAGTAATTAGTCCTGATCAGGGATGCTGCCTGCTAACACAATGTGATCAACCTAGGGCACTGGTGACTTATGGCCAATATATTCTGTATCATACAAATCATTGGGAGAAATCACTGGGGACATTTTAAGTGATTTTGAATGTTTTTTAATAGAGGAGGGAGAGGGGGAAACCAAAGGCAGAGCAGCAGAGATTGGTGAGAAAAACAAGGGAGAAAAGATTGCTAGAAGAAATCTTGTTTAGAATCTCCTTACTGCAGCCTTAAGAATTAAATGGCCTTTTTTAACAACGGCTTTGTTTTCGTTCTGCTCCTTTTCAGTTTGTGTGCGATTCTTCCCATGCTGTTCAGTGGACATCACAAAATTTCCCGGCAAAATTTGGTGGAGGCTGCGGAAAACCTGCTACAGAATTGTCGAACACAACTGGTTTGAAACTTTCATCATATTCATGATCCTGCTGAGCAGCGGGGCCCTGGTAAATGTCACCGGATTTCCTAGCTGGTTGAAAGTGGACATGGGTCTCGGACAAGGTGTTCTCCAGATAGCTGTCTCTAAGATCTTATGAGCCCTTACTTAGCTCACTTCTCGAAGCAAAGCATTTTGGGGGCTAAAACAGGGCGTCTGCTTTTCTGATTTCACCGGCCTTTACCATATGGGGGGAACTTTCTTCTGTTGCAATATAAAATTATGATGGGCACACATTTTGAAAAGCAAATCCTTAAGGAAGTCTGTGTGAGGAAGTATCCCAGAGTTACTGTTTCAGTATCCCATAGCAGCTCCATGGTAGTTCCCATCTGGAGGTTTGTGTTTTGCTCCAGGGAGGGCTTCTTTTTCTTCTTTTTCTTTTCTTTTCTTTTCTTTTCTTTTCTTTTCTTTTCTTTTCTTTTCTTTTCTTTTCTTTTCTTTTCTTTTCTTTTCTTTTCTTTTCTTTTCTTTTCTTTTCTTTTCTTTTCTTTTCTTTTCTTTTCTTTTCTTTTCTTTTCTTTTCTTTTCTTTTCTTTTCTTTTCTTTTCTTTTCTTTTCTTTTCTTTTCTTTTCTTTTCTTTTCTTTTCTTTTCTTTTCTTTTCCTTCTTCTTTTTCTTTTTCTTTTCCTTTTCCTTCTTTCCTCTTTTTTTTTTTTTTTTTTTTTTTTAGCACATTTTGCAACCAGCAAAGCAAAATCCTAAAAGGCACAGAGGGCACTGAATCAGTGCTACACATGGAGCTAGTGGGTGCCTGTCGGGTTCTGAATACACCTTAGCTTAAACCACTGTACCTTCCCTGCATGGATAACTCCTGCTTGCATCCAAATGAATGTGTTTTGTACGGAGGCTGCTTGGTCATTGCCCAGGACTCCAATAAGGGAACCTCTCCTCCTGAGATCCCACTGCATACTGGGATTCTCCACTCTGTATTACCAGCGCTGGGCTCTTCGTAGCAATGGCAGCATGTATTTATGTTGCCCATTTACATGTCAGGAATGTCACCGAATTTGGTGGGATTTCTCTCAGGTTTTTATCAGGGCGTAGAGCGAAGGGGTATATCAAGAGTTCTCCAGGCTTTCGTCTGGCAGTCAATGATCTTGTCCATGATGGAGTAAGGAATACACCTACTAAATTTGCAGGCTGTGCCATGTTTGGACAGGTTACCAGTGTTTTTCTGGAGGTCAGGGGTAACTTCAGCCAACTGGATGAGTCTGCCTCAAATAGTAAGAGGAACATCATCTTAGAAAGGTGACTGCTTCACCTTGTCAGGAATAATCACGGGCGAAAGGCACAATGCAGGATGACTGGTAAGGCAGCAGATTTACTAAAAAGAGCTGGAGAGAGAACAGGCAACAAACAGGATGGAGGAAACCACATCCCAGCACCGCACAAAAGCTGAACACCCCACTGGGCTGTAGAAATAAGCATGTTCTTCCACTCCACTTGGCATCAAGGAGGCCTCAGCTGGAGCACTGGCTTCAGCTCTGGGCATTGCACTTTGGGAAAGACATGGGCTAATTGAAGAAACTCCAGAGGAGAGCAACACAAATTATCAGTGGCCTAAAAAAAGAGGAAAACACAGAAGTACTGGGTTTATGTAGTTTAAAGAAAGTCTCTGCAGGGAGACAAGAAGGTGGAAATGCATAAATGGTGATGCAAAAAGGAAAGGAATGGACCGTTCTCCAGGTCCACCAGGGATGGGCTGAAATTTCACCCAGGGGATTTTATTTTATTATGAAAAGTAAGAGGCTGAAAAACTTGGGTAAATAGTAGGCTGCTGAAAATTGTCATAGCTTTGCTGAAATCAATGGAGTCTGACAGTTTTTGCACCAGCTTGAGAATCAGCATGTTCATTTTTTAGCACATTTTAAAGGGGCCACGTTGCTTGCTATAATACACATCAGATGAATACACTCCCTTACATATGTAATTAAAAGTGCCTTAGATACTGAACACTGCAATATAAATCTCATTTAATTTTCATTGCACGCGTTCATTTACTTTTTGTGATTTTCAATTTAGCCAGTGCAATTCTGTATAAGGGCAAATTATGCTGCATTTTCTCACATATCAGCACTGTGCTTCAGTATTTGGACTGGAGATGTTGGAGGCAACACACAACTTTTTTCTTCTGTTATTCTGGGGTGAGCTCTTCCAAAAACTGAGCTCATCTGGCTACATCCCTGGGACATGTTATGTTCTTAAGGGAGCTTATAAGCCAGTATGTATTTGTGTGTGGTAGTTAAACCACCAGAATATATCTATAGCTTACTGCAAAAGATCCAAAAACCCTTCTTATGCATTTAAGCCATAAGCACCCAAACTGGGAGCCTGTGTTTTAATAGTAATTGTGGATAACACTGTAGGTATCCTGTTTAACTCCTCTTTAACCTGCAAAGCAAAGCAGAAGAAATAACCCATAATGTTTTATATCGCAAAGATTGTCACTGTGAAAAAATCCAAAGCTTGGGTAATATCCATAGCTCAAGCAGAAGTACAGTGCACCTGAGGTGGTCCGGTAGCATATTTTTCATCGCTTATTACGCTGCTTCATGACTTACAGCGTGCTTTGAGCAGACCAAACACAACGTACTTTTTGACAAGTCAGTAGAATGTAGCAAGAGCAAAGGAGCAAGAGGAGGAAATGACTTTAAATAGTTTGTTGTTCTTTTTGCAGTAATTGCAAAGTACAGCAAGTCATCTGACAAAGTGGGGGAGCCCCTACAAGAAGTGATAAACTCCAATCTCTCTCTGTATTGTTTTCTGTGGCTTTCTCCAACAGCTCTTTCACACCCTTGAAATATCATTTTTGAAGGCAAGATAGGAAACCGAGCTGCAGTGAAAACGTCACCCTGAAGCGCAGGGACAAATGGACGAGCTTTCGCACAGGCTGCCAAAGCTTTCTTGTCAGCTTAATTGCCGTTCCCTGGCAGGCAAAAGAGCAGTGTGACTGCTTGAGTGACAAGTAGCCCACTTCTTGTATCTCCAGGCACTGGGTGTTTGCTAACTTTTTGAAGTTCCTCAGAAAGTAGCTACAGATCTTGGAATATGGAAATGCAGATAATTAAGATGATTAGCACAGACCCTCTCAAATAACGTTGTCTCTTGCTGCCAAGTGCTCTGGGTCACACGATGGGACGAGGGTAATATATCAAAGCTTGTGTTATCCAGGTTACAGGGACAGGGGAGCAGCTTCTGTAATGACGGCTGCTGGAGTAGCTGGGGGAGCAGAGCGTAACCACTGCTTGACTTAGAAGCCCCCAAATGGGCCATATATATGCAACCCTGACACTAGGACCCTGCATTTTATTTGATGTACATTATAAAGTGAAAGCTGAATTATGAGATGACCTTATTTGTTTTATTTTAGCAGGCGTATTGTTTTATATCTTAAATATTTTAAAGGGGTTATTAAGTTGCTTGTATTTGATACAGATACTGAAAATCCTTTGATGATGCCCTGCATAAGGTTAGTGAGAGAGGCAGATGAGATGGGTAGATAGATGCCTTGACCTTTAAAACATAATTGTTCTGTTAAGTGAATAATAATGAGCGTTTCTTGAGGCAGACAGTTGTAGCTACCTGAAATGTGATGGCTGAACAGAAGCCAGGGAACTCTGGTACTCTATAACACAGGCAGGTTAATAACCCAATTTGTCATCATTAGCAATAAGATGCATTTGACTAAATGTAAGGCTTGGATGCTGCCTCCTAAGGAGGAGGGGAGCTGAGACAGGATGCCCTCGGGCAGCTTGGGGTGGCACCCTGCTCACAGATTCTCATTCCCAAATTTAGGGTGCTTAAGCTCTTCTTACACTCAAAGGATGTCCAGTCAGTGCAGCCAGTAGAGGCTGGGGAGAGATAGCTAAGCATGTGTCCATTATA